AAGCCACCCATCGGAGCCTGACAGAAGGGGACTGAATCCCAGCTTCTCCGCGGACTGCCTGTGTGACCGTGAAGCGAGCCACTGGACGGCCTGTACCTCTGGTTCCTCACTGACCAGTGAAGGGCTGTCCCGAGAGAGGAGGAGGGGGTGCTTGGGGGCGCCTGGGGCAGTGACCACACAGAGAGGCCTCTTGGCCTGGACAGCAGCACCACAACAGGCTGGCCACTCCTCTTCGGGAGGGCATCCTGTGCACTGCGGGAAGGCGAGCGGCACCCCTGGTCTCCACCTACCAGATGCCAGTCTCAGCCACAGTTGTCACAACCAGAAATGGCTCTAGACATTGCCAGATGTCCCCTGGGGTAAGGCTGCCAGATTTATCAATACATACTTATACTAAACATGACTCATGATCTGTAATTCTAATCTAATTGTGTGGCCTATATGTTATTTGGCAGCCCTACCTGGGAGACAAAATTAAGAAAATTAAAACCCTTCATTAAGAACCACCTGGGGGCCCAGTAGTAACATCAATTTTTCCTCTCACCTTCCTCCAAACTTCTTAGCATACCCACCGACCTCCCCAACCCCACTGCCTCCCACCCGGGACGGGCGGCTGGGCTGCCCCAGCAAGCCCCGCTCAGCCTGTGATAACAGCTCCCAGGCTAGCCCTGCCACCAGGGCGTCTGCAGAGCTAATGTGGCTTCCTCTCCTGCACCCCCTACAACCCTTGCCTCCTTCCTGGGGTCTGTCCTCTGCCAGCAAGCCCCCGCCCTGTCCCCTCCAATTAAGAGGCCTCCTAGGCCCAGCCTAGAGGCAGGAAAACAAGTCACTTAGTCACTTTGCTTCCCTTATCAACTCAGTCACGTGGCTGGCTCCTTTAATGGGTGTTGTCATGGCAACGGGAAGCCGGTGCCTGCTCTCTCTGGGAACCAAAACAAAATTAAGGGGTGGAGGTGGGGAGGGAAGAGGAGGGGCGGGTGAAGGGAGCCAGGAAGGAGCCAGGATGAAGCTGGGAGGACTTAACTGGAGATCATAATGAGGCCACCCTGTCCCAGCTTTCCCGTGGTGGCCCTGGGGAGACAGGAAAAAATCAGACGCCTGCCCTGGTGACGCTCAGGCTAACTCAGTGGGTGTTTTCACATTGTTTATCCTGACAGCTGAGTAATTTTCATCCCCTTTATGAATACACTGAAACCCAGACACTTGTGAAGATAGCGTGAGTTGCTCATCCGGGACTGTGCAATTCACAAGCAAATCAATTTCAGCTCCTCTCTCTCCTTTCCCTGCTCCCATGTCCTCCCCACTCCTTCCCCCTTGCTTTTGTAAGAAGACCAGGGGCTCTGGCCCCAGTGCACCCAGCATGGTTCTCCTTCCTCTTGGAACTCCTCCTGCTCCTGATACTCCCACTCCTCAGGTTCTCAGAGCTCCCTGCAGCCGCAGTGTTTTCACAGACGCAATTCCCTCTGCCAGGAATGGTTCTCCCCGTCTCTCCCCACCTCGTGCCTTCCTCTAAAAGGCCCCCTCATCCTTCCCACACCTTCCTGGACACGAGATACGCTCACGACACATAACTGCCACTTCTCCATTGTGTATGCTTGCACTGCAGAGCGCCTATGCTTCAGACCTGGTGCTCTGCCTGTAATTACCTTTTTAATTACACTCGGGAGTTCGGTCGGAGTCTGTCTCCCACACTGGAATGTCAGCCCCAAGAGGGACGGCCTATCTTATTCCCTGCTGCATCCACAGTGCCCAGCCCAGCCTCTGACACACGAAAGCCCCCGGGGAAGTAAATGCGCCGGCATCTGAACCCAGCTCTGGCTGATTCCAAAGCTCCCTCTTGACCTGCTTCATGATGCTGGGTCACAACAGCTCCCTGGTTCAGCACTGGACAGAGCTTCCAGACCCACAACCCCTGCCGGCCTCGTGGCTTCGGTTGCTCAGGCAAAGCCTGCAGACCTGCCTGGCTGAAATCCAGAAACTGACTGTTCAGCTGCCGCTGCCAGAAAGAAGGATGCGGGGAGCCCTCTGGGCAGGGATGTGGCTCCTCTGAATCCAACAGTGAAGGGAAGGAACACCTGATTTGACCCCCAGATTTGTATGCATTCCACTGGGGACCGGCTCTCTGCTATTAAGGGTAGGTGGTCCCTAAAGAGGAAGGAAAGGAGAGAAGTCTGCTTTGGAGGGAACAGGCTTGTCACTAGGCCCTTAGGAGGCACCCATGAGAACAGGGCAGCTCACAGACAGAAGACTTGAACTTGTTCCCCTTCACTTGTGTGTACCCTTGAAACATCACTTTCTCTTTCTGAGCCAGTTTTCTCCAGTGTACCGTAGAAATGATGCCACCCACACATGCCAAAATGACGGTGCTGTGCACGTGAGGATGGGCGTGTTTGTGACAGAGAGCGGGAAGGGCCCGGCTCTTCTGCCAGGCAGTCCGGGGGGTAAGTCCCCAGCTCTGCCCCCGCCTGGCTGTGCGCTCTCGATCAACTCACTCTTCCTCCCTGAGCGCGTTTCCTTGTCTATAAAACGGGGGCAACCTCACTCTGCTCGTGAAGTTCATATGCTGTTCCTATACAGGGCGGGGCCCAGAGTAGCCCCAGGAAACGGACGCTCAGGTGACTAAAAGGACGGGCCCTGAGAAATGCGAACTTCAGGAACAGCCGCCATCATGGGGCTGTTGTGTCTGGACTCCAGGGATGCGGAGTCAGTGGGTACCTGAGGCCCTTTGTCCAAGCCTGGAAGGTTCGGCCCCCTCAGATACCTTGGTATTGACTCCCCTCAGATACCAAGCAGGATCCTAGGAGGTCCCTTTGGTCAGACGGTCTTGGCCCACAGCTGGGCAGAAAGCATATTCTGTACCCCAAACCCAGCCCTTCCTAGGAGAGAGGATGCAGGCCAGACGGCTGGCCACCAGGGACAAAGTGTTCCCCAGTTGGGCCAATAACCCAAACTAGACAGATGTGGTGGGACCACCAAGGGCACCGATGCTTCCTTCTCCAGATGTGGAAACGGAGCCTCGAGAAGGAAAGGGACTTGTCCAGGGTGCCAGGGGAGCTGGTGGCGGAGCTGGGGCCAGGGCCCCAGCTGCAGCGCAGCCCAGGTGCCTCGCTGACAAGTCTTCTGCCTGCAGCCCCCTCCCGACGGAACCAGCCAACTGCCACTCCCTTAAAAACGCAGCCATTCCAGGAGCACACAGCTGGGGAGCAGAGGTTGCATCCAGGTTTGGTTAGACAACGAACAAAAAGACTGTGGGTCTGTAACCCGAAGGCTTTGGCAGGGTGGGGGGGGTGTCTATATACACTGTCCCCCAAATAGCCAACAGAATGTGTGGGTCTATGGGTTGTACTGGAAAGAGGGTCCAGACAGTTTTCTTCAGGTCCCCACAGGGGTCTCCACAAAGGCAAAGCCGAAAAGCTCTGGGCCTTTCGGAGGGATCCCATGTATCCTGTATGTTTCCTTATTCAGAAAGGTCAGGATGTGCAACCAGCCCTGGGGCTGATTCTGGAAACCACACAGGCACGCCACACACACACCCACGCATGAGGAGGGCGGGGCAGCACCAGGCGCCCGCAGCCTGCAGGCTGCCCTTGATGGCTGTCTGCCACCACGCAGGGAGGGGCTTCTTGATGTTCAGCGCTGGCACCAGATGCTGACGCCCCGAACACACACAGACTCGGGGATCAGGCCAGCCCCAAGGTCTGCAGGCTAAGGACTCAGGATACACCCCTGATGCCGGCTCAGCAGCAACGGGGTCCCAGGCAGAGGGATGTGGGTGACCTGAGGAGAGCAACACACGTCCAGTCACGGGCCTCACTGGTCCACACATCCCACACACAGACACACACAGTCACGATCTCATGCATTCACCCGTCACACACACAGACACACACAGTCACAGCCTCACTCATTCACACATCACACACACAGTCACAGCCTCACTCATTCACACGTCACACACACAGACACACACAGTCACAGCCTCATTCATTCACACATCTTACACACACACGGACACACACACAGTCACAACCTCACTCATTCACACAGATCCCTGCATCACACAGACATACATCATACTCAAAAATACAGATAAACACAGACACAGATACATGTGCACACAATACACAGAGATAACACTGAGGTTATCTCCAGACGCACAGACATCTCAGATACACATGCTCACAGCCACATGCCTCACCCACACAGGCATGTACACACATACACACACGCACAGAATCCAGGCATCTAAATGCTTGCCGGACACCCATCCCTACAGATTCTCCCCTCTGCACGAAGTCATGGGCTGTCAACGCTAGGCTAGACCGGGCTCCCCACTGGCCGCGGGAGAGAGGAGTGGGGCAGCAGAACCCTGTCTGACTCTCACCCTCCTTCATGGGTGGAGGGTGAGGGGCCCCTGCCTGCCAGGAGAGTGCAGGCACATGCCCACAAGCAGAGTAACCCTCTGACCAGGGACTCGCAGGGACGGAGTCCCCTCCGGCTCCTGGGGGTGGCTTCAAGGGCTGAGAATCCGGAAGGAGGAGTGTGGAGATGTGTGGGGAAAGGCTTTATTCTTCCAAAGGGTTATCTTCCCCCTTCCCTGAAGTCTAGCCCTCCTGCAGCCCCATGCAGACTTCCCCCTCCACGCCCTGGCAGCCCCCCACCCCTCTGCTGTCTCAATGTAGTGAGACTCATCCACCAGCTCCTGCAAGAGAGGGGGTCCTACCCAGACACAGGCAGGACTGCCCCACAGCTGAAGAGCCCGCATGCTGCATGCAGCAGAAAAACATCCAGAGCCCCCACCCCCAAACTCCCAGCCTCCTCCAGTCCTGCTGGAGGTGAGTACCCACCCAGGTGAGCCCCACGACCAAGGTGGCCGCCCCCTAGCACCACTGACCACCCCCACTTCTGAGACTCCTTCCTGGGGGTGGGTGGCCACGACTGTCCCCACCCCCAGAGGCTGCGGGGGAGGGGGGCGCCCCCTCCCCCACCTCACCACCTACCTCCTTCTTGACGGTGCGCAGCAGCCTCTGCCGGGTCTCCGGCCCTGTGGGACAAGACGGGAAGGCCGCTGTTCAGCCGCGGGCGGGGGCCGGGATCGGGGCTGCCCTCCCGCCACCCCCGCGCCCCCTCACCCGTGGGGCCCGAAGCCATGGCTGGGCGCGCAGCGTTCCAAGTCCCGGGAGGCAGTGGCAGCGGTGGCGGATCCTGCTCTCCGGCTCCAGAGCTGCCAGTCGCGGTGGGGCGGGGCGGGGCGCCGAGTGACGTCAGGGCCCGTCTCGCGCGTGGCCCCGCCCCCCGGAAACACACTGCCAGGCCTTCCAAGTTCCCTGTATGAGGATCCTCCCCTCCCCATGCACATCCGCACCCCCTCACCTCCAGGGCTGGCCTCCCCACGACCCCACCCCCCACCTTCCTGCCCAACGCCAGTGCCCCAGCCCCTTTATGTGGGGCGGGAAGGACCGAATCACTCGTTCAATGTCTGCCATGTGCCAGGCTCGAGGAAGTGGCGGGAGATGGTGGGGCACACTCTCCGAACCTCAGTTTTCTCATCTTTACCACGGGTATAATATGACTACCTCGTGGGAATGACAGACTTAAATGAGATTTTGAATGTGAAACGTTTAACGCACACCCAGGGAAACGAAGTCCAGCACCTGCAAAACGTCATTGCATGTTCTTTGGCTAAACCCTCACCGTTTTTCATCCAGTCCGCCCCCCACCCCGCCACGCCCCACCGCTCCCCCTAACAGCTGGCAGTCCATTCCGTGTGTCCGTGCCTCTGTTTCTATTTTGTCCCTCAGTTTATTTTGTTCAGTAGATTCCCCCTATAAGTGAGATCTTATGTTATTTGTCTTTCTCCTAGTGGCTTGTTTCGCTTGTTGGTGTGGTAGCCTGCAGGTCCATCCCTGCTGTCACAAAAAGTAAGAAAGATTTCCTTCTTCCTTTCTGCTGCCTAGTATTCCATTGTGTAAATGTACCGTAGTTTTTTGATCCACTCATTTACTGATGGGCACTTAGGCTGTTTCCGGAAGTTGACTATTGTAAATAGCGCTGCTATGAACATTGGGGTGCACACGTTCTTTTGAAGTGGTGTTTCAGGGTTCTGAGGGTATACTCTCAGAAGTGGAATCACAGGGTCATAAGGCAGTTCCATTTGTAATTTTTTCAGGACACTCCACACGGCTTTCCACAGTGGCTGCGCCAGTCTGCATTCCCACCGGCAGGGCACGAGGGGTCCCCTTTCTCCACGTCATCTTCACACTTGTTTGCTGCTTTACTGATGATGGCCATTCTGACAGGTGTGAGGTGATGCCTCCTGGTAGTTTTAATTTGCGTTCCTCTGATGATTAGTGACATCAGGCATCTTTTCCTATGTCTACTGGCCATCTGTGTGTCCTCTTCAGAGAAGTGTCTGATTCAAGTTCTTTGCCCACTTTTAAACTGGATTGTTTGTCTTTCTGGTGTTGAGTTGTAGGAGTTCTTTATATATTCTGGAGATTCACCCCTTATCAGTTGTATCATTGGTGGATATGTTCTCCCACACAGTGGGTTCCCTTTGCATTTTATTGATGGCTTCTTTTGCTGTGCAGACGCTTTTTAGTTTGATGTAGTCCCATTTGTTTATTTTTTCCTTTATTTCCATTGCCCTAGGAGACATATCAGCAAAAATACTGCTCCGAGGGATGTCTGAGATTTTACTGCCTATGTTTTCTTCTAGGATTTTTATGGTTTTGCGACTTACATGTAAGTCTTGTATCCATTTTGAGTTTATTCCCGTGTATGGTGTAAGTTGGTAGTTGAGTCTCATTTTTTGCAGGTGTCTGCCCATGAGCACCTCTTTTATGCCAGGCACCATAGTGTCCCCTGGAGAAGGGGCAGAGAAAGCACAGGCGAAATCCTGTCCCTCATGGCCCTTACATTCTGTTGGTGGAACACCAACCATTAAGTGCCCAGGAATAAATCTATCACATGCCCTGTAAAACCAGAGGGCAGAAGAATTGTACAACTTCTCTGGGAGGCATTAAAGAAGACCTACTGGAAAGAGTTCCATGAAGAGGCAGGTACTCCCTGAGACATGCAGTCCAGGTGTGACTAACGCAGACCTAGCAAATATTTTCTAAGAACATGCCACACCTGAGGACAGGGCTGGACTCCGGGCAGGACACCAAGCGAGTCCACAAGTGATGTGTGGGAGTATCACATCCAACTCAACACTCCAGAATTTTCTCCGCTGACCCTCCTCTCTTCTCCCACACCCTCTCCCCTGGGTTACCGCCCCACCCCCCCATCAGACAAACCAGAATCAAACAAACCAGAACACACAGTGGGCTTGGCCACTACCCAGAAGGCACCCAGGGCCGGGTTCCACAGCTAAACCTAAGCAGTAACTTCTTTGGAATCACTTATGAGCACAAGGATTTTCCAGGAAAGTCTTAGCGAGACTGCAACTTGGAGGAACTAAATTGATGTCTAAATTCAGTACAAGCCCAAATTAACGGACAACAGGCTCTGTTATATTCTGGAACTCAGTGCAATAATTCTAAAGTTCATTTGAAAGAAGAGCCAGGAATTTTCCAATGCTTAGCAGATTTAGCTTTTTCTAGTTCTTAGAAGTTTTGTCAAGATAGAGCAAATGAACATTGCATTATGGCACTAAAACTCTAGACAGATAACCTCAGCATTCCTACAGATTTGGCAGGATGGGAAGGATGTACAGCTTGCAACTATTTCCTTTCCTGCAATGAATTTTCTGGCTATTAATGTTGTATGCCCTCTATATTTTAGGCTTATGGAAAAAGAAATGGAGATCATTATTCATTAGTCAAGTCAATGCAATTGCTTTTCAAAGCTACACAATGCATGTGCATACAACAATTCTAACAGAACTAGGAAGTCTAGGAACATTTTCTTGGGTTGGTACATCGCCATACTGAAAGGCTAAGTAGGTCCTTGGACATCTCAGTGTCACCTACATTGTGCTGTCCTCGCAGGTCATTACCACACAGGCGCACGTGTCGTCATTTGCCAAGAATTGCCTAATGCAACTAAACCTCAGCTCTGATTCTCCAACTTGCTTCTCTTTTGTTTAATTTTTAAATTTCTGTTCAGTGTGCTAAAAGCAATTAATGTGAGATCTATCCTTTTAATGTCCTTTTTTTTTTCCAAATCCTCACCCAAGGATGGATATGTTTATTGATTTGAGAGAGAGAGAGCAGGAGGGAGAAACATCGATGTGAGACACATCGATCGGTTGCCTCTCATACGTGCTTCGACTGGGGACGGGACCTGCAACCTAGGTATGTGCCCTGACCGGGCATCAAACCCACAACCTTTTGGTGCACAGGTCGATGCTCCAACCAACTGAGCCACCTGGCCAGGGTGTAACACACTTGAACTCATCTTGCCCCACTGAGACTTTGTATCTGTAAGTTAGCAGCTCCCCACTTCCCCACCCCTCCTGAGAACCACCATTCATGGCATTCTCTGCTGCAGTGAGTCTGACTATTTTAGTTATGTCACATAAGTGGAATTATGCAGTATTTCTTCCGGTGACTGGCTTATTCCACTTAGCATAATGTCCTCAAGGTTGTTCATGTTGGCGCATATTGCAGAACTTCTTCTTTTTAAAGGCTGAATAACCTTCCATTATATGTATAAACCGTTTTAACTTTATCATCTGACCCGTTGATGAACATTTAGGTTGTTTCCATGGTTTGGCTATTTTTAATAGCGCTCACATCTCTTTGAGACCCTCATTTCAATTCTTTTGCACAGACACGCAGAAGTGGGATTGCCGGATCATATGCTAGTTCTGTTTTTAGATTTTTGAGGAATCTCCATGCTGTTGGCCATAGCAGCTGTATCACTTTGCATTCCCACCAAAGTGTATGTTCACATTTCCGCACCTCCTCACCAGCACTTGCTGTCGCTTGTGGTTTGGTTTTGCTCGTAGCCACCCTTCCCTGTGAAGCTGCATCTCACTATGGTTTTGATTTGTGTTACCCTGTTGGTGAGTGACATGAAGCATCTTTTCATATACCTTCTGGCCATTTGGCTGTCTTCTTTGGAGAAAAGTCTATTCAGGTCCTTTCTCTTTCTTCAAGTGGATTATTATTATTATAAATTTTTTTTGCTATTGAGTTGTATTTCCTTAGATATTTTGGAAATTAACCCTTATCAGATATATGGTTTGCAAGTATTTTCTCTCATTCTGTAAGTTGCCTTTTAACTCTGTGGATGGTTTCCCTGGCTGGGCAGAAGCTTTCCAGTTTGATGAATTCCCACTTGTCTATTTTTGCTTTGTTGCCTGCACTTCTGGTCTCGTTTCCATGAAATGATCGCCAGGACCAACGGCATGAAGCTTTTGCCCCATGTTTCCTTCTAGGAGTTTTACGGTTGAGGGGCTTACATTGAAATCTTAAACCCATTTTGAATTGATTTTGTGTATGGTGTCAGATAGGGTCCAGTTTCATTCTTTTGAATGAGGATATTGAATTTTCCCATCCCCATTCATCGAAGAGATACCCTTTCTCCATTCTGTATTCTTGGGCCCTCGTTGAAGAGTGCTTGAATATATGCCTTTAGTTCTGAGCTCTCTATTCTCCACGGATGTGTCTTTAGACAAGTACCATGCTGTTCTGATTATTTAGCTTTGCAATATATTTTGAAGTAAGGAAATGCGATGCCTCCAGCTTTGTTCTTCTCCGGACTGTTTCCGCTGTTCAGGGTCCCGTGTGGCTCCATACAAATCTGCACCGTCATCCAATTATTGACCCTGTAAACTATTTAAGTCTGTATTAATCTTAGAATGCCATAAAATAGTGTGAGAGCCTTTCCCAGTCGCTGTTAGTAAAAGAAGAGATCAGTGCTTCTGGATCACAAGAAAAGCCCGCCTGGTGGAATTTTTCGTGGGCTGTTCCTTCAGTCAGCATTTCGACGCCCTCTAGAGGGCAGGAGGTGTAGTGCCAGGTGGTCAGCCTATAAAAACGTAGGCGCGAGGGAACACGGCTCCTGCTTTGATGAATCTTGCACTCCCAACAGGTAACTGATGAAACTCGACAACTCTATTAGAGCAGGGGTGAGTGAGGTGCTAAGGTAACCGCTGATGTGGACCCGGGACTCGTTGGGAAAGGATTCTGGGTAACACGCCCTTTTTCTGGCGACCAGACGCTAAAAGGATATTGTTTGGGTCCTTTCGACCTCTTTTCTCCTCCAAATGACAGTTTTACTTCATAACTGGGGTTT